AAAAAAAAAAAGAGGTGGGTGTGAATCTATGACTCTGAAGATTGGGCATATTCCAGTTCTTGTATCCTGAGTCTTATCCTCTAAACTTTCAGGTCCTTGTTAATCAATGGCCCGCCACAGTTCGAAGTGCTTGGCTTACTTGGTCTGCCCTCGAACCACATGCACGGGGCGCTGGGCCAATATTATCCAGAGTCTTATCCTTCGATGCCGCCGGAGCCGCTACATTTATCGGTACCGACCATGAAGGCTCCATAGACTTCATGTCTTGGCGATAGCTCCATTCATTGCTTTCAAAACTGGAAACAACCCGATATCCGACCTTTTCTGACATTCTAAGGATATCTTACACCAGATCTCGAACCTTGGAAAGAATCCGCGGTATTGAAACTTTTCGGCACACTTCAAATTATCAGGACTCAATGTCCTACGGATTAACGACGGCGTATTCTGGCGTATTGCTCTCGGCTTGGTATGATATTTGATAACCACTACCGGTCCACTCGGGCATACTTCTTGTTAATTTTGGAAATTTGAAACCCACGCCTTCAGGTTTTACTTGGAATGAGGCTCTCCAGCAGGCTTCTCTCTGGGCTTTAGTCGTCCAGCGTCCACATGTTCTGCATTCGGGGTCCTTTACCTCGAGATAAGACACCATTATAAAAGACTCTTCAGAGATTCCAAAGACTTGAGGCTCTCGACCTTCCCCGCTTCAGCATGTTCTTTGCGCCCCTTGCCACTCTCTGCTTTGCCGCTGTCGCCCTCGCTGGCCCGCATAAGCGTGCTGGTGCGCTGTCTGTCGAGCTCTCGAGTGCTTCCAGCAGTGTCAACTCGGTCGCGGATCTCACACTAACCGCTGCTGTAACGAACCACGGCGCAGAGGACATCAAGGTTCTCAAATATGGGACCATTTTTGATGCCGACCTGCCTACGCGCTCCTTCACTGTGATGCGCAACGCCACCGTTGTCCCATTCACGGGGATTAAGGTAGTTAGGTTCTAAAATTAAATATCAACCCTGTATTGACACCTTTTTTAGCTCTCCGTCTCACTCACCGACGCAGACGACAGCGCCTATACCACCATCGCTGCCGGAGAAACCGTCACCATCGTGCACGATGGTGCGCCAAATTCTTTCCTTTATCTATCTGAACTGATCAGCTGACGTAAGTTACGTCATCGAACCAGTTTCCGCGTTGTTCGACTTTGCCTCCGTCGGCACCGGCTCATTCAGCTTCGAGCCCGTAACAACCTTCCAGACGGCTCCTACCGACCAGAAGATTTCTGCTCGTTCCGAGCTTACCACCATCGAGGCCTCATCCAGCCCCCTCACCATTGTTGTCACCGAAGACGTTGCTAACCACGAACTCACGCGCCGCGCCACCGACATCTGCACCACCGCTTCGCGCAAGTCCTTTATAGATGCTAGGTTCGGCCTATTCTATCCTGTATTGCTTCATTCTGACAATCAAACCAGTTACACGGAGGCCAAAGCCCTTGCACGTACCGGCTCGAGCTACGTGTCCTCGCGCGGGGCAGCCGACACTCTGTACCGCGCGTACTGGGGTGCTACCGCGACCTCCCGTATCACATCGGTCCTCAACGCCGTCGCCAACGAGGCCAGCGGATCCCGAACGTACGTTCAGTCAACTTCCAGTTGAACAATCGTCATATGTGCATAATTATATACTTTCCCTGTAGTCTCAGCTGCGTCGACAGCTTCGGGGCTTGCTCATCGGGCGTCATCGCGTACACTGTCATCTCCACTACCAACGCGAGTAGCACCCCGCCTGAATATATTTTCTACTGACGCTTGCCCCAGATCTACTTCTGCAGCCTTTTCTTCAGCGAGGTGCCCAGCACCAGCCTCTGCTCCGGCACCACCGTCGCGTCGCGCAACGTTCGGGGTGGAACCACCCTCCACGAGGTGCGTGATAAACCGATTATCTCTTTGAGACTGTGTTCAACTTGAAGGACCTTGCGAATTAGCTCACTCACGCCGTCGGCAACACTGATGATGTTATTTACGGCTGCGCGAACGACCAGGCACTTTCGGACGCGAACGCCGTCAGAAACGCTGACAACTACAACGTATGTTTTCGTCTGACTCTGCCTTGGTTCGAAATCATGTTGATTTTTTGAATTGGCAGTGTTTCACGACTCAAGTCTACGCTAGCACCGTATGTTGATTATTGGGGTAGCTTGACTTATATGTTTGTACTATGCAACGAATCAAGTCTAAACTGTGTTATTCTGTTCCTACCGCGGTATATTATCAGCGGCCCGGTACGGGTACCTTGATCTAGACTGAGACGAGGGTTGTAAGCGCCGAACCTTCAAGACGTTCCACTGTGGTGTGCGAATTACCGTACTTGGGGAAAGATCCTTCTCCTTCTTTAGAACCATATTCAACCGAAAGAAGTTGAAAAAGAAAGGAACGCTATGGATCGCCTGATAACACCGATCAAACGGCGGCAAGTGGGTCAGCGGCGCCGTACCCTGTAACTTGCGTTGCCGGCTGCCAAAGTTCGTAGCCGTTTTGACGGTTCGACAACACCAGTTGCACGGGTCCCCTACCTGTTCCATCACTAACACTATTACAACTCACGGTCGGCAACCACGGCACATCTTGGCCCTGGAACTCCGAGTCCTGCGGTTCAGGGAATGAAACGCATACTCAATTACTGTTCAATTATCTGAGTGACAGATATTGCGATTTGAGACAGTAATACTGAATGTTCAGCAGTGGTTTGCGGAGCGAATTGCTTTTGAGTCCGACTACACTCTCTTGTTTTGTCGGCTTTCGGTCGACAGGTTCACAGCTGAGTATATCAGCACCAGATATAAATGAAGGATATTTCTTAGGCCAAACCCACTTCCCTTTCCCCACTTTTTCCAATCCCAAGGCCCAGGGATGTTCTGAGGCACGTTGGCAGTGACGGAACAATTTCATGGTTGGAGTAATGCATCTGCGGCCGTCGTGATGTTAGGTCGCAATAAATTGGAATCCAAAGCTTCTAACGGAGGTGCAACCAGGATCCTGTACCGAAATCTGAGAGCATTGACTGCTTGCTTATTCCACGTCAGACCACATGGATTCGAGAAGGGATGGTTGATATGCTTGCGTACCTCTACAGCGTCCTGCAGCCCCACCGTCTACGGGAGTCATGTATGACCGTCGTCACTAATCACTAACCCCGTCCACTCTCGCTACACAACCCTGCCCCGCTACATAACCCACTCCCTGCTCCGCGCGATCTCCCGCTTCCGCCGCTGCACGACGGCCTCCGCCTCCTCGCCCCACAGCTCGCTCGGGGTTTTACGTGTCCATGTCGCGTCTGCTGTACCCGTCTCCTCTGCCGCACCCGTCTCCTCCGCCGCACCCACCCCCGTCTCGCGCATATGCCGCTCTGCCTCTGCCCAGTCCATAACGACACAGTTCTCGACCGTCAGCGGTGCGGCGAGGTCCCAGCGCACGAGCGCAGGACGGGCGGGGACGGTATGAGGCGGAAGGACGGAGCGCCCGCGGTGCACGTCCTCGAAGAGGAGCGCGACGTCGTCTTCGTCGATGGGCAGGCGGCTGGGTAGCGGTGTTAGTAGGTGCAGAAGTGGGAGCGGAAAGCAACGCACTTGATCTGCACTCCAGCCCGCTTCGACTCGCGCGTCTGCAGGTCGCGCAACATCCTTTCATACAACTTGCGCCGGTTCTTGATCGCGAGCGGGTTCGGCACGGGCTTCCCCGCCAGCTCGCTCAAGACATACGTCGCGATGTGCAGCCCGAACAACGCCGGCAGCGGCCCGAGCACGGGCAGGATCCGCACGCGGAAGTCGTCGAAGACGCCCAGCTCCGTGACCTTGCCCTTCTGGAACTCGTCTTCCGGGAGCGGGAGGAGGGAGACCTCGCCGGGGACCTCGGTGGAGTAGACGACGGGGATGCCGGAGGGGACGCCCACGAGGCGGAGGCGGCGCCGGACGGACCGCGCGAGGGGGTCGTAGACGGTGTTGGATATGTCGCTGATTTGGATGCGCGTGGGGTCGCATTTCGCGCCGGCGCCCATGGAGGAGAAGACCTTGATGGCGTTCTCGTGGCAGTATTTCAGCAGGTCGACCTTGGTCTGGATGTTGTCGATGGCGTCTGTGATATTGAGACGAAGGCAATGCTGAGGGATGGGTGCACACCTACTACCCAGTCGGCGCCCTCGAGCAACTTGCCGCCCTCCTCCTTGCGCCATATATCGATCCGCGAGTCCACCTCGACCCAGCGCGCGATCTGCTTCAACGTGCGCTCGATGCACTTGACCTTCGGGGTCCCCACATCGGTGAGGGTCGCCGTCGCGTGGCGGTTGAGCGACGAGAGGGTCACATAGTCAAAGTCGACGAGCCGGATTTTTGAAACTCCACTGAAAGATAATAAAAAATTGAATACCCGCAATGCAACCGAACTCACGACCGCACAAGCATTACTGCCGCCCAGCTCCCCACGCCGCCGCACCCGACCACCACGACGGTCCCCCCACGGATCCTCGCCATCGACTCCTCGCCGAAAAACGCGTAGTTCCGCGCCAACTGCTCCCGAATCAGCTCCTCGTCGTATGAAAGACTGGCATCTGGGGGAGTGGCAAGCTGGCTTTCCGTCAACTTCTTGACCTGCCCGTCGAACAATAGATTTTTACTGCCAGAAGCGTTGGATGATATGGAGCGCAGAATATCCTGGTCCAGGTCTCGCCTCCGGGATTGCCTGGAGAAAGAATTGTACACCGAAATGAGAGCAACGGTGGTGGCAGACGCGGCGAGAGCTGCAGCAACTAGCTGGGTCCGGTGAGAGTGAAAATTGAAGCCATCCATGGAAGGGAGCTCAGGAAAGAATCGAGACGGTGGTCTTAAAGAGAAAAAACACAGTACATACTACACAAGTACTACACCCAGAATCTGCTTCCAGATGGCCATGCACTGGAGCAGACTGAAGTTTGTTGATATATGGCCGAACATTAAGTGGCCTTCATCTCTTGACTAGTATATCGGTTTAGTACACGCGCCTGTCATTCTGCCTATTCCTGGCAAAGATAATCTTGACCGCGCGAAAGCTGGGTTCGACTCCCAGGTCGAGAGTTCCTTTTTTGCTTTTTCTTTCCGTTTTTCGCTTCATCGTTCTCTCCCTTCTTCCATCTTCTCTTGTCTTTCTTGGTGTTTGCTATCATTTCTTCAGCGCTCCTCTTGCTCTGTTTCCTCCTCTGTGTTTCCTTGCAGCCATCTCTTCGTCACCTACAACGTAATGTCCACCAGCCTCGGCTCCCCTACGTCGCCGATATCTAATGTCTTACCCACGGATGACCCACTCTCGACCGGAACCTCGGACCCGCAAGACTTTCTTCCTTCCCGATGCGTACCCAAGTGCCTCCGTTGAACCCAGATCTTGCGTCTGGTGACTCTTCTCTCGCAATGGAACAGACATAATTGATTCTCGCAATCGGTTGTGAATAACGGGGACCTCATCATTCCACTGTACAGATCTGTCATAGCCATGGATGCGCGGAGGTCCTTTCGAACACGTGCTGCTGTGATTCAAAATATTTATGTTCTCTCTCAGAACAGCTGATACAACCAAGAGCAATTCTTCGACGTGTCTGCTGACCCCGCTGCGTTCTCTTTCACCCACGGAGGGCCGCCTTCTTATAAATGTGCCGCCCCACGGTCATGACATCGACATTCCCCACATCCACGCTCAGCAATTACTGTAAACAAGAAACACCCAAGAAATGTCGATGCGCGCCGTGGTCTACGACAAACCGTTCACAGTTTCCGTGCGCGAAGTCGAGAAGCCCAAGATCCTGCATCCCGATGACATCATCGTAAAAGGTGATGTTCTCCCTCCTTTCTGCCTCCTCTCTACATTCGGATTGGTACTAATTGCATATTGGTACTAATTGCATATTAAAATTGCAGTCACAACTTCCTGCATTTGTGGAAGGTGCGTACCATTCGATCCCGTCATTTTCATTCTAGTCCTTCACTGATATTAAATGTAAAGTGACTTGCACATGTATGAAGGCCGCACCGCCGCGCAGGCGGGTATCGTTTTTGGGCACGAAAAGCACGTATCTTCTCCGTGTTTTACTGTAATTACTGAATGAATTGCACACATAGCATGGGCATCGTCGATGTGAGATTCCGCTTCTTGCCTTTGTTCAAATTGACCATTTTGAACACCCAACATTTCGTTCGCATAGGAAGTAGGAACTGGTGTAACGGTGCGTCTACCTCAATATATGGTAGCAAGGGGGCTAATAATGCTACCTACTACAGCTTTTGAAGAAGGGCGACCGTGTGGTGATGCCGTTCAACGTCGCCTGCGGCCGGTGCCTCAACTGCGAAGAGGGAAAATCCGCCTTTTGCACCCTCGTCAACCCGGGATTCGTGAGTTAATCTCTGACTTTCGCTCCTTCACCCTCTGTATACTGAATTCTCGTAGGCCGGAGGGTACGCCGTCGATTGATTTCATCTCTGGTCCGGCACTGATTTTATTGTCGAATATCCGATGTCCAGCGCATATGGGTGAGTAACCAACGACTTACAACATATTCATCCTAATTATTCCAGCTACGTCGCGATGGGACCTTACCCCGGCGGCCAGGCGGTATGTCGGCCGTTGAGCTATGATAAGTTTCCCAAGTTGAACACGCTCGAAGGAATACGTCCGCGTCCCCTTCGCTGATTTCAACGCCCTGATTCTGCCTCCTGGAACCGAGCACGAGGAGGACTTTGCCCTGCTCGCGGATATCTTCCCCACCGTCAGCATCTCTCTTCCCTCTCATCCATCGCAGCATAATAACCTGATAGCCACCTAGGGATGGCACGGCGTCGAGCTCTCCGTGCGTCGATTGAAAACAGGTTTGTTTACGGCCCAACTCACAGAGTACGATAGGGCTTCCGCCCCGGCGAATCCATCGTTGTCTTCGGTGCAGGCCCCGTCGGCCTCATGGCCGCGTACTCCGCCGTCTTGCGTGGCGCGTCGGAGGTCTACGTCGTCGACCGCGTCGCCGAGCGGCTCGGAAAGGCGATGGAGATCGGATGCACGCCGATTGACTTTTCGGCGAGCGATCCGGTGGACCAGATTAAGAAGCTGCGTGGAGGGTGCGTGGTTGAATTTCTTTTTTTTTTCGATGAAAGAATGGGCGGCAAATGGGCGGTGAAAATTACTGACGACTGCCTTTCAGGAAAGAGGTTGACCGTGGTGTCGACGGTGAGCTTTATCAACTCACTATCCCAACAAACGCTGAGCGACTGACCCACGTTGTTAGCTGTGGGCTATCAAGGTGTGTAAATAGGTTGCCATAACTCTCGAGCTGAAATATATTTGCAGCGACCACCGGCGACGGAAAGACCGAGCAGCCCAACGCCGTCATTGAGGCCCTCATCCGCGTCGTTCGTCCCACCGGCGGACTCGGCATCCCGGGACTGTACGTTCCCTCCGACCCCGGCGCACCTGACGCTGCTAGTGCCAAGTACGCCATTCTCCATAATCTCAGAAGCATTTCCTTCCGGCCTCGCTCATTCATAATATTTGCAGAGGATACATGTCGTTTCCATTCGGTTAGTAGTTTCCAACCGTGGGGAGTGAACGTAATGCTCACGACTTGTTCATTTCAAGGCAAGCTGTTCGAGAAGGGGCTGTCGATCGGGACGGGCCAGTGTAACGTCAAGGTCGGTGTTTTTCTGTACTGATGATTGTCTTTTTCTGATTGCACTGGATGGTGGTGCTTCAGGCATACAACCGCTATCTGCGCGACCTGATCATCTCTGGTCGTGCAAAGCCTGGCTTCGTCGTCTCTCACAATGTGTCACTCGACGACGCCGCGGACGCGTACACAAAGTTCGACAAGCGGATCGATGGGTACACGAAGGTGCTGCTGCACCCGTGAGTGGGCTGGTTGGTTAATGAAAGAGAACGTCGCATGCATGTATTATATGGGGGAAGAATACGAATGGATCAGATCTGCTCTAAACAAAAATTGAACCGGGTATTTTAGATTGGGGTTTCGATTGCGAAGATGAATTTGACGCTATCCTTAAGAATGAACCAGTTGAATCAAACAAATGGGGAAAAAGGTAGTAAGGGGACTCACCTATATTATGATTAATCCGCATGTCCTGCATCCCTCAACTTCCGCAATTCCCCCTCCCTCTTCAGCTCCACGGCGCTCTTCTCACCCGATGGTTCCTCCGTGTCGGCTGTGAACGATGCCCACTTCCAAGTCCCATCTTCCTGCTCCCCTGCTTCTTCATCAACGAACTCTTCAAATCCCATGTTCGCGATGTCCAAGTTGCTGATCATGGACCACGCAACCTCGTACGGCAGTCGACATGCCCGGAACTCGTCGGTCACCCCTTCCTCCCCACCCTCTTCTCCGGAATTGTAAAATCGGTCGCAGACGATACAGGTCGAGGTCTCGAGGCCCTTCCGGTCGATGATGACCCAGTTTGTTGATGAGAGCTCAAGCTCCTTCAGTCTCTCTTCGTGCGAGCGCACAAAGTTGTTGATGTTAGCCAGTGACATTCCGGCAAAGTCGTTGCCCGAAAGGTCGGGAAGCGGCAACCGGGTGCTCGCCGGGGGATCGGTTGGCAATTCTTTCGACGCCAGGAGAATCCAGCTGCTTTCATCCGGGTATTCGGTGAACTCGAAGTCTTGGATGAGGAGGAACGCGCGATTGAGCGCCTGGATGCAGCGTGATGGGTCAGAGTGGGTCAGTCGATCTCCTATCGAAGGAAAGAAGCCATTGCGAGCACCTTTGAAGACGGTCTCGGGGCAGTAATAAATACTGGCCAGTTACTTGCCATTAAGATGAGTGTGTGGGGGTAGGGCAGTAATCTGTTCTCGGTGTGGTACTGTGGGTTGCGAAGTCTACCAGTCACGCAGTGTGGGCGTTGACAGGTTTGCCGATCATGACCTCACTGTCGAGGCTGTGCAATTTTTTCTCCAAGACGAGCCTAGACAAGAGGTGACAGATCTTGTTATCGGACACACTGAGATCAACACGTGATTTGGTGTGATGGGAGAGCTTTGGAGAGCTGAAAGTGGAGGCAAGAGGTTTGGGAGGAAAGAATACATTGCTTCAACTATCCACCACTAAGCAAACAAATCCAGGGCACTGAGATAATTTTTTTTGAGAAGGTGCTGGTTCAGTACCGGATACATGTCTCAATTTGGCAATCAAGGCAGTGGGCTTGCAAAAACTTGGCAAAAACATGTCCCCAACATAAATGAAGTCTTTCTTTGGGATAGAGGTTTGATTCAGGGTGAAACAAGGCCTAGGAACTCAATTTCCTATATCTTTGGCACGTACACGACACATTGCACGGAAAAGGATTGCACGGCCAAATATTTATCAAGCTTTGGCCCCCTCAAGGCACGTGTTGATCTCAGTGTGTCCGATAACAGGATCTGTCACCTCTTGAGCCTAGACGAGCCCGGTTTGCCGCGAGTTCAACGTTCAACACTTGCCATGTGCGCCCCATTACCACGGGTTCAATTCGGACCTGACATGATCCTAGGAAGAAATTTGGTTTACGATACTAAACATGAAGGGCTTCAAGTGATCGAAATGTAGCGATTTTGGGAACCTCTAGGTGTGGAAATGGACGGAAATACTGGTCCTTGTTTGAGACCAAGAAACACGAATCGGTTCAATGGTTGATCTGTCGGTGTCCATCCCGCGTTCTACGAGGTGATCCGGGTCTGGGGAACTGAATTTACTTCCCTTTTCTTTGTCTTCTAACCGTGATGGCACAAGAGCTGTTCGAGTTGCGAGACTCGACAAAGTTGTAGCCTGAGCCGTGGGAGTCGTTCCAACGGGGTGAAGCGGCGGAGAGATAACCATAAGATGAAGAGGTTGCGGGAAGAAAGGACAGATGATAGGAGGAAAGGAAGATCATATGTCTCCTGCACCTGGAGTAGGCCGCACCTCAAAGTCCGACCCATACAGCACTCTCTTCCCCCATTCCTGCGCACGTATATCCCAGTCTCGTAGGCCAGTAAACAATGAGGCCACCTCTTCATTCCAGCGCGATTGCACAATGGGTGTAAATGGCCGTGGCGTTATCCGCGTCGCAGC